ACTCCTTCCAAAGGTTCAAAGAACATGGCAGATGATGGAGCAGAAGAATGTTCTTACAGGAAGAAGGGGCGGAGTGATAGGAAACCCTGCCTTCTGGGCATGACATGGCCTTGAACTCACAGACTCACAGCAGCTAGGGTTACTTGAACAAAACTGGGCCTGCCACCACTTCCTCATGGATCTGACCTACTCACAAGTCCCAGCCCTCCCTCAACTATAAGCAGCTAATGGTTGTTAAAGGCATTTCCTTCAGCAAAAAAGCCACTGAGCTTTTGCCCCTTCTGCTTCGTGGAAGGCTTTTATGCCTTTCCAGAGCTCACCTTAAAGAGTGTTTGTGCTGTTAACACAAAGGTGTACTGCCTTTCCCTGCAGTGTATATTTCCCTGCAGATTTCAATGGTGTTGCTGACATGTCTAAAGCTTATCTCCTTTATAAAATTAAAAAAGGATTCTTGTAAGCTACAGGAAATCCTCTCAGGTCAAATGGAATCCAGATAGGAGTCCAGCTAAGTACTGCCAATCAAGGAGTTCCCCATCTATTGCCTACCTAGAGGGTGGGATTCCTCCCCTCCCTCAACTACCCAATTGCTACATTCCTGCACCCAACACCAGCTGATTGGTGAGTTTTCACTTCTCCTTGACATAAAGGCTTCCCACCATTCCCATCAACCTATATCTAAACCCTTCATCTAGGAGTTTCTCCCCTGGGTGAGATTTTCCCTCTACCAGCATGGTTTCTCTCTCGCCCCTTCTTGCACGTCATCCTAGTGACAGGTGAACCATGTCTGCCCAGGCAACTTTGCCCTTGGTCGCTGACCAGCACTGAGGAACTGCTGGAACAGACTGTACCAGTCTACCCCTTGATGAGTCACCGCCTCCTATTCTACCCATGGGAAGTCCATTCACACAGGCATAGGGATGTCTTCCCTACACCTAATATTTGCTTTATGTGCTTCCAAGCTTACACGCCTCTGCAACCAAACTTGGCCTCAATTTCCCTTAGGTAACAGATCCAAAACAGAACCTTTTTAATTACTGCCAGCGATCAGATAAATGGAAGGAGGTTCCCTATGCTTAAACTTTTACCAACTAAGCCACCTGAGGCTTCTCCCTCTCCTTGCTCTCCTCAAAGTTTCAAATGTATACCTAAAAGGAATTTTCTCCCTAACCTACTGAACTTTGTCTTCTGTTCCAGCTTCCTATCAGGTCCAGATGTTTCCTACATCCAAGACAGCACCAAAGCAGCTACCCAGGGGTGCTCCAGTCTAACCTCCCACTGTGTCAAGCCTGACCTGCACCTCCTAGCCACAGATTTTCTTTCAGATCTTGGACAGCAAATGCAACAGCCTGCTCTTCCCAGACTTTGCCAACATTTCAGCCTTTTGGCCCCACTACCGCCCACCCAATGTCAGCAGGGAGTAGCCAAAGATGACTGATTTCTTTACCCCTTATCTATTCATTATCCACAAAAGGCTGGAACAGTAGGCTTCAGACCCCAGACAGCCAGCTCTAGGTTCTCCAGCGTTCCTCGTCCCTATCTGCTGCAGGGCATGGCTGGCACACCCTGCCCTCTACCTGAACTTTCCAGGGCTTCCCCTTCCCCATATAATCCAGAGATTTTGGTACTCTTGTTTTCTTCTCTCTCTCTCTCTCTCTCTCTCTCTCTCTCTCTCTCTCTCTCTCTTTCTCTCATGGCAGCCAAGAGCTGCTTCCAATGACCCTACATTTATATACTTTAAATTGTCTTGCATGAGAAGAGGTCCAATGTCCTCATTCCTGCCTCAATACCTGTCTTTTTTTTTTTTTAATTATAGGAAAAGGAAGGAATGTTAGTTCACAAGCCAATGCACTAGCCTAGGTTGCCTAGCAACTTTTGATGTCATCACATGCAGTGGCCATGGAGGTGCGCACAGATAAAGACAGCCTGCCAACTCAAGCATGTGCTCTCTTGACTTTCTGTCCTCTTTTCTCTCTGCCTCAGTTTCTCTCCCCTTTCCTGCTCTCACTTTCTCTCTCCATGGGCCCCACTACACCCTCTTTCTCATCTCCTACATTCTCCCACTGTCTGTTTGTCTGTTTCTCTCCACTTCCATACAATAAATCTCTCCATTCCAGATCTGTTGTGTGTGGCATTTTTAAATATATTATTAAATCGGTAAGTTGCCCATGCTCACATGAATAATCTCCCACCCATGTTCCTGTAAGTAACTCAGTGGCAGAGCACTGGCCTAGCACGCGCCCGACCCTAGGTTCTAGGCCTTGTACCATAACAGCTAAATAAAAGTAAAGCCACGAGCCAGGTCTGCCGGCACACACCTGTGATCCCGGCACACCCAGCATTTGGGAGGCAGAGGCAGGCAGGGTCTCTGAGCTCCAGGCCAGCCAAGCCTACACAGTGAGATGGTGACTCAAACAACCAAAACAACAGACAGACAAAACCAACTGGCTGCTGAGGGAGAACCAGTCCTGAAGGAGGTTAACAGCAGCTAAGCAGTCAAGCAGCAGTAAGCACCTGCGGCACCCTCTTGTAAAACTGAGGGACAAAGGCTGGAGGGATGGCTCCTTGGGGAAGGGCATGGCTGCCCCTCCAAAGGACCAGAGTTTGGTTACCAACACTCACACGGTGGCCCACAACCCCGAGTAACTTCAGTTCCAGGGACCTGATGCACTCTTCTGGACCTTGCAGGTATCAGACACACAAACATGCACAAAAAAAAAAAAAAAAAAACAAAAAAAAACTTATACACATAAAATAAAAATTAATTAAAAAAAAAAAAAGACAACAGCCATGTTTTAAAGTATATAACTATTCAGTCAAAATAACCTGATGCATAGTAAGGCCCGGAGAATACCAACTGTGCAGTACAGGCAGGTGGCTCGATGCTCAGCAGAGATTTCCAAAAAATGGCTGGCCAATATAAACTTTAGAAAATCTTTACTAAGTCCAAGGCCACCCTGGACTACGTAGTGAGAACTTGTCTCAAGTTAAAGAAAAATATTTAAGGCTTTGTAGCATCTGATGAGATGATTACACAGGTGCCGAGAGACACCGAGAGTGCACCGGGGTTCCGGAAACGGGAAGAGCGGGAGTAGTGTAACAAGAAGTTGGACAGAAAACTTCAAGGACACAGAACAACTGTTTGGACAAAAGTTGGAATTTTACTCTAGAGTGGGAATGATGATGGGACAGGCAGGACCAAACACAGGAGAGCCTGACAGGGACAGAAATCTACGGAGATGATGACTAAAGTCACTGAGCAACCCTCAGATCCAAGCTACCAAAATCCTCTCTCCTCAAATCTCTGCCCAACGCAGGGCTCTCACCTCACAACAGGACAGAGTCCTGAAAATGCACAGTAGCCACAGGAACACCAGCTTTTTTATTACTCTTATTAGACCTGGCTTCCAAACAGAAATGCTCAAAGTAAACAGTATCTACTTCCCTTCTATATTTAAGAATACACAGTTAGAGCCAGGCATACACCTGTAATCCCAGCACTCAGGGAGACAGAGGCAGGCAGATCTCTATGAATTCAAGGCCAGCGTGGTCTACAAAGTGAATCCAGGACAGCCAAGGCTACACAGAGAAACCCTGTCTCAGAAAACAAAAACAAACAAAAAAACAAATGTCCTAAGTTGAGCATCAGGTACACTTGAAATTTCCTATTAAATTATCTGCTGTTAGTTTGTTCTGAGATAGGGTCTGTGGTGGTTTAAACAAGCATGGGCCCCATAAGCTTAGATATGTGAACATTTGGTCCCCAGTAAATGGAACTGTTTGGCAAAGATTTGGCTTTGTTGGAAGAGGTGTATCATTAGGGGCAGGATGAGAGGGTTTGGAAGCCATTCTCAATCTCTCTCTCCCTCTCTCTCCCTCCCTCCCTCCAATCCCTGTGTGTATGTGTCCATGTATGTCCCTCTCTGACTTCATGTCTTGCGGTTATGTCTCAGAATGTGAGCTCTCAGCTATTGCTCCAGCACCATGCCTGCCTGCCGACTGCCACATTTCCCCCCCCCCCCCCCCCCCCCCCCCCCCCATGATGATCATGGACTCTAACCCTCTGAAACTGTAAGCCCCAAATAAATTCTAGAAGTTGCTTTGGTTCCAGTGTCTTGTCACAGCAAGAGAAAAGTAACTAAGACAGGGTCTCATTAAGTAGCCGTGGCTGGCCTTGAACTCAAGCGATCAGCCTGCCTCTACCTCCCAGGTTCTGGGTTTTAAGGTATATGCCACCATATCCAACTCTATGGGTTTTTTTTAATTAATTAATTTTTATTTCTGTGTGAGTGCCTGCCTGACTTTACGTACACTGCATGCACACAGATGTCCTCAGAGGCCAGAGGAGGGCGACCAATCCCCTGGGACTGAAGGTACAGTTGTGAGCCATCACATTGGTGAGAGATGTGACCCTCTGAAAGATTAGTACGCACTCTTAATCACTGAGCCATCTTTCCAACCTACATGACTTATTATGGGAAAATTTCTCCTAGTGGATGATAACACTCCTCTGATCCTAGCACTCAGAAGTAGTGCTAGGAGGATCAGGAGGTCGAGGCTAGCCTGTTATTAGTAGGCTCCAGGTCAGCACGGGCAAGAAGGGACTACCTCAAACAAACAAAATTCCTAGGAATCTAAGCCCCACTGCGGCTGTTCAGAGCTTGGGGGTCTTTCGGCATCTCCAGCCAAGCTTCATGGGAAAGTGGCAGGAAGCCAGTAGGTGGCACAGGCCTTTTATCACAGCAAGCGGGAGGCAGAGGCATGTATATCTCTGAGTTGAGACAGGCATGATCTGTACTTGCAGAGGATATAGCAAGACTCCACCCCCAAAACAAAACAAACAAATGAAGAAGGCAGAGTGAAGATGCCCACAGGCCTCCCAACTTCTAGAAGCAAGAGAAACCAGAGAGATGAAGTGAGGTACCCAACTGGATAAACCAGAGTTAACTGAGGGTCCGTGGCTGCTTTAAAACAAACTGGTAAAGGAGGTAAAACAGACTCACTCTTTTCGATGAGCTGGTCCTGAACTCCTGCCAAGGCACTTACTGCCTAAAAGAGAAGTCACTGGTTACCAGACAAGTGACCACAGACCCCGAGACACCAACCCACACAGGGAGGAAGGGAAAGTCCACATTCCTCAGTGAAGGGCCACCAATGGGCACGCCCTCCACCACTGCCACTTACAGCGGCCGAAGTGACCGAGGACTTGCTGAAGAGCCGCTCGGCCTCCTTGAACTTCCGGTTCCTCCGATCGTTTTTGCTATTGGAGTTTCTAAAAACAGAAGAAACGCTTGAAGCAAGCACCAAGCTACAACTTCAGCTCACACTGGGGTGCCTGGAGCAGACACAGGGCACACTTGATTCTTCTTTTAAGTTGCAGATTATCATTGTGTTTGTGTATGACGGGAGCAGGGCAGGACACACATGTGTACAACAGTATGTCTGTAGGGGTCAGAGGGCAACAGCCCTCTCCTTTCAGGCTTTGCAGAAAGCACCTTTACCTGCTTAGCCATCTAGCCAGCCCCACCATTCTTCTTTTCAGCAATTTCAATTCAGGAATGCCTCTGATCCATGTAAATCTTTATGTTGAATGCCTACAAACAGCAACACTTTCCACTTAGCAAGGTGAGATGATTTTAGCTGCTTTCTAACACGGTCACATTTATTCCTTTCACTTGTTTGTCTTAAGAAGCCCAGGAGGAGCTGGAGAGATGGCTCGGTGGTTTAAGAGTACTGACTGCTCTTGTAGAGGACTGGGGTTCAATCGCCAGTGCCTACATGGCGGCTCACAACTGTCTGTCTGTAAACTCCAGGTTCTGACACCTTCACACAGACATACTTGCAGGCAAAACACCAATGCACATAAAGTGAAAATAAGTACATTTTTAGAAAAGGCAGCAGCCCAGGAGACCCAAGGACACATGAGTGGCCCGAGAACACCAACCAGCTCGACCACAGGAGCGGTAGCCTGGCTGCCCGACCCGGTCCCACTCCTAACTATGTTAGCATGCATTTATGCCACTGCTCACTGTCAAATGACTAGGGCAGGGGCTGACAAGATGGTAAAGGCACTAAGCACGTGCTGCCAAGCTGGACAACCTGAATTCCATCCTCAGCCCACGGAGAGGAAGAACCGATCCCACAAAGCTGTCCTCTGGCCCACACCCTGTGGCATGTGCAGACCTCCCACACACATCATAGGCACTTATAGGACAAACAACTTCTGCTTCTTTTTTGTTTTGGTGTTTTGAGACAGGGTCTCACTATGTAGTCTTGGCTGGCCTGAAACTAGATATGCAGACCAAACCTTGAACTCGAGGTAACCGCCTCTCCTCCTGAGTGCTAGGATTAAAGTCCTGTGCCACTTTGACCAGCAATTTTTTTTTTCAACAAAAAAATGACTATGAAAAATAACAGGGGGCTGGAGAGATGGCTCAGTGGGTAAGAGCACTGGCTGTTCTTCCAGAGGACCTGAGTTTTTAATTCCCAGCAACCACACGGTGATTCACAACCATCTGTAATGAGATCTGGTGCCCATTTCTGATGTGCATGAAAACAGAGTATTCATATAATTATTACTTTAAAATAATAACAATAATAAAATGGAGGCTGGAGAGATGAGTCAGTGGTTAAGAGCACTGGCTGCTCTTCCAGAAGGACCCAGGTTTGATTCTCAGCACACACCTGCCAGCTCACCGCTATCTGTAACTCCAGTCCCAAGGGATCAGATGCTATCTTCTGACTTCCAGGGGCACTAGGCCACATGTGGTACATAGACTTATACGCAGGCACAACACCCATATACATAAAATAGGTAAATAAACAAGTTTTAAGAAGTGACTATAGCCAAGCACGGTGGCACAGTCCTTTAATCCCAGCAAGAGGCAGTGGCAGGTGGAACTCTGTGACTTCAAGGCCAGCCTCATCTGCGGACTAGCTAGAGCTATATAGTGAGACCCTGTGTCAAAAAAAAAAAACAACTCGGTGAGAACAGCATAGTCACAGTGTCTAAAAGTGTAACCTCATAAAAAGATATTTTTTTCCTTTTTGCTCTTTACTTAGTGTGAATGCATTTGTATACACTCACGTAAAAGGCAGAGACAATTGGCATCAGTCAGTTCTCTCCAGCTACCACGTGGGTCATGGGGATCGTGGGTCATGGAAACAGAACTCAGACCATGAGACGTGTCCACCAGCACCTTGACCCACTAAGCCGTCTAGCCAGCATGAAGGACTAAACTATTACAGCAGAGCAGTCTCGGGACCACCCGACATAAGACAGAGGTATAGAACCAAGGGTTCACAACCTGGGGCTCAGACTGGGGGTTCAGCTCAGTGGCAGAGCACTTCTCTAGCATGCTCAACGCCTGCACCAAAGGAAAACAAAACAAAAACAAAAAACGAAAACGAAAGATCTGAAACTGGGACCCTATAAGGCACAGTGGCACAGACTATTAATCCCAGCACTTGGGAGGCAAAGGCAAGTAGATATCTGTGAGTCAGAGGCCAGCATGGTCCCTGTAGAGAAATCCTGTCGTTCCCCCCCCCAAAAAAAAAAGAGAAGAAAGAAAAGAAACGTCTTGCTCTTCTCAGGAGGCAACTGCCAACAGACCTAGGTGCAAAGGTTCCTGGTGTGGTCGCCTAAATTTTCACGGGGGTGGGAGGAAACACGGGGGAACAGCTGTAAGGACAAAGGAGTTATGCACATCCTCCTCAGGGGGGCAGCTCTCTGGTGCGGGGGCCCTTGCTTTCTACCTTGTTGAGGCGGAGTCAATCCTGTTATTCTGACAGCACTACATATCAAGGGGTAGCAGGCCTGCAAGCTTCCCAGGGAGTCTCCTGTCCCCACCCCCCACCTCGATGTGCTAAAACTCCAGATGTTCACTTTTAAAGAATTATACACGTGTATGTTTAATCTGTGGAGGGCGGGGAAAAGATCATGTACCAATGAGTGCAATTGAATCTGATCCCCTGGAGCTGGAGTTACAGGTAGTTTTAAGACACTTGACATGGTGCTGGGAATCAGACTCTTGTCCTCTGCCAAAGCAGTGTGTGCTCCTAACTGCCGAGCCATGTCTCCAGCTGCGCCTTTTTAACGCGGTTCTGGGGACCTGAACTCGGGTCACCGGGCTTGCACATCAAATACTTTGACCCAGTGAGCCACGTCTCCTGGACCTAGTTTTACATCTTGTGGTTACACACATACGATAACATGCCCTACATCTACACACACATTATTCTAATATTGGTCCTGGTTCTGATGACGTACTATGGCTACATGAGGCGTAACCATCAGCGAAAACTGTGTGAAGAACATACACAGCTTCCGATCCGAATCTCCAATTATTTCAAACAAACAAACAAACAAACAAACAAAGAAATCTTAAGCATACATAGATGTTCTCATACATTAGAGAGAGCACAGTATGTAAGTATGCACAGTAAGTAAGCAACTTATTAGTACCTGGGAAAAATACTGATCATACACTCTATCATCTCAGGTTTTCTACAGAGCTGAAACATTCTCACAAGTTTAGAATTTTTATAGAATCATTGCCAAGTAAGTGATACAATAGGCATTACAGGCAAAATTCATAATTGGATATCATGGCTGATTAAAATGTGGAGGGCACTTAAGTCACATGCTGTATTTCATTTTTACCTTCATCACAGGCCCTACTTTCCTTAGTCACAAATATGGGCTCTGTCCAAGGTTTCTCTGTGAGACAGTCGAACACAAGTTCAAGCTCAGCCCTCATTCCACACACCGACTTTACCATCTCCCTGCGGAGCGGACACCAAAAACAAACGTCCCAGGCTGTGCATTACAGTCCATACCTTCAAATCCAGCAACTGGGAGAAGGGTCTATGTGACCTGCGAATTTGAGGCCAGTCTGGTTTACATAGTGAGCTCCAGGCCGGCCAGGGATACATGGTAAGACCATGTTTTAAAACATAAACGCTACAGATAGATATTAGTAGGGGATAAAACGAATCCTACTAGATTCTGACACTCACTTTTGATTGGTCAAATACCGATCCCAGCCACGGATAATATTGCCATACATCTGAGTGTCTTCCAGGTAGCTTCCTTCAAAAGCATAGATCTGTCTCTCCAAGTTTGCAAGTGTTTCCTAAGTGATGAAAACAGGGACATGGAAAAGCAAACATTAAGCACGAGCAAACTGAGATCCCGCTACAGACTTATAAAGTCAAGCTTACCCACACTGAATCATCTTTGTAGAAGCGTGAAGGTGATGGACCCTTTTATAAATAGAATGGAACATGTAGTCTATCCTCACAAAAATGCACAAACATGCAAGATTGCATCTACTTCAGAGGCAAACCTAGTTATCACGAGCAGGGATGAGACGGAACGTGAGCTGTCTTCACTCTTACTCACTAAATGAGACTCTTCCAAAGAAGGGTGAACAGCTTTTCAAAATCATCTTTCTACATCAACTGCTCCCTCCCTGCTCAGCTCTGGAAGGGCCGCCCGCAGCGGATGCCGGTTGCTATGGCAACCTGGAAGGGCAGCTTCAGGTGAGCTTTGCCTCCCGGATGCTCGTTGCAAAAGGCGGGAGCCCTGAGGGCTCAGCCACCAGGGTGCCGGCTGCTCCGGGTGCTCGTCACCACTCCAAATTCCCTAGACTGCGTCCCGCGTCTCCCGCCAGCCCCCTGCCTAGCATCCTCAAACACACCACACTCCCCGGCCATTGAAACGCGCCGCCCCTGGAATCCGCCGTGGGTACAGCCGACACGCTCCCGCATCTTCTTCAGGCCGGGGTCTAGCCGCCTCCTTCCCACCCACTGAGCCCGACCAAGAGAGTCGTCCCCGCCTCCTGCCGCTCGCCCTTCCCGCGCCCTCACTGCCCCGCCCCGCCCCGCTGAGCGCAGGCCGGGAACCGCGCCGCCGCAGGGAACCGCGCCGCGCCCGGCCGCCCAGAGCACCCGGACCCCGGCCGCCCGCCGCTGTAGTCCCCGGAGCGGCCTGCGAGGCCAGGCGAGGACGGCGCCCAGGCCTCGGCCACTCACCGCCAGCTCCTGCTTCCGCTTCACCAGCTCGGCCAGCTCCCGCCGGGTGTCTGGGATCTGCGGCGGCGCCGTCTTGTTGTGCATCGCCATGTTGGGCTCAAGCGGCGGCGGAGGCGGCGGCGCGCGATCGGTAGGCGGACCCTGCGCACTACCGCCGCCAGCCGCCGGGGGGCGAGCCGCCGCCGCGCCTGCGCGCGGGCCTTCCGGGGAAGCTGGCCGGCTCGGCGCGCGAAAGCCGGCGTAGAGCAGCGCTGGTTTGTGTGGGACCGTTCTTGCTGTGGGCGTCTGAGCGTTACAGACATCCACGGACGTTCACTGCCTCCACAGCCCAGCTGCAGCATAAGCCTGTTAAGTATCCCATGTGCCTCGCCTTCAGATGACTTCCTTGCCTCAGGTGGAAAACCTGAGCAAGGTCCGGTCCCAACATCCCTGGGATCTGGAGAGAAGATTTCAAGCCCAACCCTTTCTTGTGTAGTAAGTAGCACAGCAATACCGAGGCACTGGTTTGGCGGAGGGGAAGGATTATGAACTCATTAGCTTCTAGCTTCAGGTCCAGAACTGTATCCCAGGCTGGTGTTGAGCAGAACACACAGGCCTTGATTTTTTTTTTTAATTTATTTTTCTTTTATATACATTGGTGTTTTGCCTGCATATATGAGGGGATCGGATCTCCTAGAACTGGGGTTACAGACAATTATGAGCCATGTGGGTGCTGGGAACTGAACCTGGATCCTCTGGAAGGGCAGCCAGTGCTCTTAACCACTGAGCTATTTCTCCAAACCCACAGACCGTGATTTCACAGTCCTGCCTCTGCCTTCCCAGTGCTGGGATCGCAAGCGTTGAGCTACCGTTGCCATTAATTGGCGCTGGGGGTGGAACTCAGGACGGACTAAGCAAGCACCCTGCCAGTGGAACCACACCCCCCAAGGCAACTCTGCAATTCGCCAGTGCTCTGCAACGTCAGTGAGTCTAGGTGGCATTCTGTCCCCCGTGTGTGGGTGTCCTTGAGTTTCTACGCTCCAGGTAGATATTGTTCAACAGGTCTGAGAAACCCAGTTTTCTTCAAACCCTCTTTCCTAAATTTTTCTCTCATAAACTTACCTCTTATGTTCCTCTCCAAAGGTACAAGCCTATAATCCTAGCAACCTGAGAGGTGGAGGGAAGAAAAGCAGGGAGGTCAAGGGAATGCATAGTATTTGGGCCAGGCTAGGCTACATTAAGACCCGGTTTAAAAAAAAAAAAAAAAGGCAAGGGCTGGAGATAGAACTCAGTTGGTAGAAAGTCTGCCTAAGCATGCACGAATCCCAGATTTTGACCCCAGCACCCCTTCTTTCCTGCCAGCCTGGCCCACAGAAGAACCTCTCAAGGCCAGGAATGGTGACACACGCCTTTAATTCCGGCACTCAGGAGACAGAGACAGGCAGATCTCGAAGCCAGCCTGCTCTGCATAATGAGTTACAGGACACCAAGGCTACATAGCGAGACCCTGTCTCAAAAAAAAGTTCAAGGCCAGCCTCAGCTACCTAGAGAATTTGAAGCTAGTCCTGGCTCAAAAAATAATAATAATAATAAACGATCAGACCTTGGAAAATTATTTTTATGTATATGAGTGTTTTGCCTGCCTGTGTGTCTGTAGCATATGCATGTACTTCCCAAGGAGACCAGAAGAAGACATCAGATCCCCCTGGAAGTGGAATCACAGTTGTGAGCTGCCATGTAGGTGCTGGGGATTGGATCGGGGTCCTGGAGAAGAGCGAACAGTGCAGAGCACCCCCTTTTTTTAATAGCCAGGTCCCAGTATGAGGTACCCATATACTTATGGGTGTGGGGGGGTCTGCTCACCCAATGGAATGTCATCCACCTACCAGAGGCCACACCTTCAATACAACTGACTCTCCCCAACAGAAGTCACCCACTGTCGACAGCTCCTCAGCTGGGGATGGGGGTTCTCCAGGCTCTCATTGCTACAGGCTGGAATGTTGACTGGCGTGGCTTTATGCCAGCCTTCTGTAGGTAAGCTACAGCTGCTGGGCCCACAAATCAGCAGTTGTCCCATGTCCAGAGGCCATGTCACCTCAGTCCTCCCTGACCTCTGGCTCTGACAGCCTGAAATAGTCCCTGAGCCTTACGATGGTGATACTGCTAGAGATGCCGCATTTGTGGCTCGGCATCTTTAGCTTTTTTAAAAACTATATCCACTTTGAGACTTTTGTTTTATCAGTGTTTTGTCTGTGTGTGTACCTTGTGTGTACCATGGTACCCATGGAAGGACACCAGATTCCCCTGGAACTGGAGGCACACTTGTGAGCCAACACGTGGGTGCTGGGAATTGAACCCTGTCCAGTCCTGTCGTCTGTTCCCACCCCCCACAAGCAGAGCATCACCATTGAGCCATTGCTCCAGCCCCTCTTCAACATAGTGGATTACATGGATCGGCATTCAAATGTTATGGCAGCCTTGAACGTCAGGAATAAATTTCTTGGCCATCTTGCTTATTTTTGTATATCATTTAATTCAATGGACACCTCTCTATATATACATTTTCTCTTCCTTATCGGGTTTAATTTGCTCATTTTTAACATGTGTGAGTAGCGTGCCAGGGCACGGGTGTGATGGTCAGAGGCTAACTTGTAGAAGTCAGTTCGTTCCCCACCTGAGTTCTGGGGACTGAACTCGGGTCATCAGGCCTCACATTGATTGTTTTAGTGGCTAAACGATCTCACCTGACCCACTTTGATTTTTTTTTTTCCTGCAGCTAAGTTCATAGGTGATACTGACTTGTGGATTTTTTTGTTAACGATGTATTCATTTTTATGTGTATGGGTATTTTGCCTGAATATATGTCTGTACAAATGCATGCAGTACTCTTAAGAGGCCAAGAGAGGGTGTTGCATCCTATGGTACTGGAGTTACACGGAGGTTTGGATTCTTTACAGTTTGATTCCCAGCACCAGGGAAGAAAACTAAAAACTCCTACAAATTGAGGTTTGAGAGATGGCTCAGCAGCTAAAGAGCAACTGGCTGCTCTTCCAGGGCACCCTGATACAATTCTCAGTACCCACACAGTGGCTCTCAAATTTTCTGTAACTCCAGTTCAGGGGACCTGACTCCCTCTTCTAGCCTTGCTGTGTACCATGAGATTCAGACACATAAGAAGGCAAAACACCCATACACACAAAATTACTTTTAATTAAAAAGAACATGGTATACGGAACTGGAAAGATGGTTTAGCAGTTAAGAGTGCTGTGGTTCTTGCAGAGGACCTGAGTTAAGATTCCAACAACCCACATGGTGGTTCACAATTGTCTGTAACTCCATTTCAGGTGTTATCTGACACAGTATTCTGGCCTCCATGGGTACCATGTGTACACAGGATACAGACATAAATGCAGGCAAAAGACATAAAAATTGTTACTTTCACCGTTTTGTGCTTCAGCTTTCTCATTTGCAAAAGCCAAATCCTGCTTAACTGAGGACAGAGTTCTGGTATGATCTAGTACATATCTAAAGTGCTTAGAATTTCATTTTCCTAGAGCATGCTCTAATATACTGACTTTTGGGGGGGGGGTATTAAGGCTCTCTGAAACATTCCATCCTTCTGGAACGCTCAAGCAGAAAGGCAAACAAATCAAAGTAGCTTTAGGAAGGCCCTGAAACTCAGCAGACTCCCTTGGCCCTCCCTGCCAGAGTAAACAAAAGCCTAGAGCCCCTCTGGGAGGAAGGGAGGCTGAGCTGCAGAGACTGAGCCCAGACCAGCTGCCTAGAAGGGGTTTAAAAGCAACTGAGGCACCTGGAAAGGGCTCTCTCCAACCTGCTGAGCTGTCAGTAGGGTGTGCAGCGTGCTCCAGGTTCCCAGCCTTTTTGAACTGTCACCCATGTTGGGGCGGGTTTTAGTGATGCATCTGAGTCATTTCTGCTCTTGTAACCCCAATAAAATTCATTGGTTCACCAAGTTGGACTTGGTGCTATTCGTACTTAGGTTTGCTGTGGGACCCCTGTTTGGGGTGAGTGGATGTGTTTCATCTCCTCAGGTAAAGTTTTGTCACACAACAGGGGTGTCCACATTTGTGTGTCTTTATCACTCCCCACCTTATTGTTCGATAGTCACCGAACCTGAAGTTTAACTGACAGACACTGGCTGGGCACTGAATTGCAAGGACCCACCTGCCTCTACATCCCTAACACTGGGATTACAAATGCTCCTGTGCTTGGTTTCCACATGGGGGTTGGGGCCCAAATTCAGGTTCTCATGCTTGCAAAGCAAGTGCTATACTATTACTGCTGCTATTATTACTGAGACAAAGATTCGCCTGAGCCTTCTCTGTCCCACCCAGTGTGATTCTGTGACTCTAGTGATGGGAGCGGCCTACTCAATTCTTTTCCCTCCTCCACTCTGTCCATCATGCTCTGTAGGCGACTGTGTGACCTCATTGCCACTTACCACAGTGGCACTTCCGAGCATGGCTTACACTCTTCCCATGCACCTCTCTGCAGTCCCACTGCTTCCTCAGCTGTCCCACTGGTACAAGGGGCCCTCACCTACTTACTAGTTCAGAGTCTACCTCTGCTTTAAGACACTCCTCAAACATCACCCATTCCAGGACAGTCCTGCTTAAGTATTGCTGTGTCTGACTCACAGTTGCAAACCAACTACTAGCATGCTGTGTTCAACTGACAGTCACTCCAGCTTTTCAGTAAATGACCTCAACTGTGTCACTTTGTAAACTATATTTTCGCAATTTTCACTTGAGACAGGGTCTTACTCTGTAGCCCTGGCTGGCCTCAAACTCCTCGGTCTGACCTCTAACTCACACATCTGCCTGCCTCTGCCTCCCAAGTACTAATAATAAAAGCTGTGACCACCATACCTATCTTTTCTTCTTTTAAATCTTCAGTGCTAGAAATTGAACTCATACCAGGCAAGCATTCCACTGATAAACTAATCCCCAGCCATCTTAAATTAGACTTACACACTGGGGAGGTTGCTAATGGGTACAGGACAAGACAAAATACAAAACGTTCTGAGGACTGGCCATAGAAAAACATAGCATATAGCCAGGACTGCTGGGGGAGAATGTTTCTAGGAAGTGGAGGCCTTAGCCTGGGACACATGGAGCTAGGTCCAGCCTGGGATTCAAGGGGTGAACCCCAGCAGACTGTGAATGTATCCCTAGCAACTGCAGATGAAATCCAGGGTCAGGAGGGAACAACCCCTGAGGCATGAGTGGACTGCACTCCTGGAGCCTGGCTGTGGAACCCAGCTCATGAGAGAGGGTGAATACCTAGGACTGGTGGGAAGACTCTGGGGTCTGATGGATGGAACTCTTGGTACTTAGAACCAATGGCAGCATTTGAGAAGGCCCAGGGTGGTGAAGAAAGATGCAGAAATGGCAGGAAAAGGCTACTGGACAGGGTAGGGAGGTGGGTTTAGGAGCAAGGCAACCAGCAGTTTATGATCAAGAGGAGACTGCTTGACACAGGTGAGGTAGGGGCGTCTCCACGTTTATGTGACGCTGGAGGAAGAACTGCTTAGTCTTGAAGGTCCAAGTGGGTTTAGGACTTGTTCTTGGCCTTGTCAATCTCCCAGCCAAGTGTGGTCTTTTAGGGCTTGGCTCCATGGTCCTCCATCCTCTGCTTCTAGGCGAAGGTGAAGCAGTTGTGTGACAGGATGCTCTCCGTAGTCTCAGGGTTTGACCTGAAACAGCAAATTTGGCAGATCCATTTCCACGTCCCTCTGCTTCAACATTCTGTAGCCCTACTGGTCGATTTTTATAAACATCACCTCCACACTGACCTAGGGTGCAAACCTCCTTGGCAACCAGCAGGGCCAAGTTGGTCTGATGTTTCTTTCCTTGGCCACGCAGCTGTCCTCACTGTGCAGCATCAAGCAGAGCTTGCATTCATGGGCTCCCAGGTGTCTGCATAAAATACAGGACCTGTTGACGTTGCTGGTTTCTGGGGCCAGCTACTTTGGGGGCTCAGATTGGTTCTAGAAGACCACAGTGAAGACCTGGGAGTGTTAGGGGACAGGGAGAAACTTACTGAGACAAGATTGCCAATTGTTTGAGGACTGACTGGACTACAAGGTAAATTCCAGGCCAACCTCAGCTATAGCACGTTTCAAATACCATTACCTGAACTGATTGTTCCTACTGTCCATGTACCACCAAAACACATAGTACAAGTACCTGAAAGAACATCAGTGTTTGTACTCAATGAGCTATCTTTGATAATGTTGGAACAAGGAAACAATTTCTGGTGAGAGGACTAGTGAGGACTTTACAGTATTTGTCTTGTGTGCACAGATGGGAGATCTGAGGTCAGCTGTGGGAGCTGACTGACCTTCCACCATGTGGGTTCTGGTGATCAGATTCAGGTCATCAAGCCTGGTGACAAGTACCTTTACTAGCTGAGCCATCTCACTGGCCCAATAAAGACTTTTCCACACCCCTGCAGGACTAGGAACCACTAAGAAGAACTTGGTGCAGAAGCTCGGCAGCAAAGAGCTATTTTGCACACAGCTATACCTCATCAGGGCAAGGAGAGACATTGAAGGCTTTGCAAATAGCCAAGATGAACAAATCTCCAAGAAGAAAAGAAAAAGACAAGTTCTTAACCGAGGATACCACTGCTCCACTAAAGCAAACATTCAGTCAGTAGAATTGGGACATTTCTGTTGTTGAGATGAAAGTTTCACTGTGTAGACCAGGCTGCCTCACATTCCATGTCCCCTAACATTTGCAGCAATCCTCTTGCCTCAGCCTCTCCAGGGACCGGTTACAGGCATGAGTCACCACTTCTGGCTCCTGGGACCTCTTTACTAAAAAAATGTACACAAAGCAGTTACATTCTACAATGTTTATCAAGAAAGCAAATCCACAAGCTGTCACTGGACACGGAGGTCCTGAAGTAGGATGACAGATTATTGTGGAATCCCTGACAGAAAACCTTGTCTGGATTGAGAAAAATATCCCAAGTACAACTGCTTTCTGGACACAGCAGGTACTCTTCTGAACACACATTCTTGAGCTGTCCCTACCCCAACCTCCCGCATTAGCCAGCCTCTGCTCCCAAGAGTGAGGCCATGACTACACAAAGACAGTCTGCTTCTCAGATCCTAGCTCCTAACCCCAGGAGGAAGTTCAGAGTACCAGGGTTGAGCGGTGTCACCTCCCTCTGTGTCGCTGCCCTCATCACCACCTGAGGATGAAGTGGTCCTGATCTGTCTGCACCATGTGAAGGGACATCCACACAAAACCTTCCCTGACAGATCAATGATACACTGTTGAGTCCACTGACCCATGCCCTTGTTACTGAGGTAGGAGGTTCCTGTCCTCCGCACTTCCAGGTCTCTTCCCTACAATTCTATACACACACACTACATTTACCTCAAAACAAAGATTCCTTTAGGAGTGAACATACATATGAACATAAGTCCTTTATGAGAAAAGTACTACCCTCTAAAATGGGGCTATATTTACAAATTTTATTTTTTTAATCTCAAAAATACATATAAATGAAAACCTGCTCTCCAAATGCACACAGGCCTTTGCCTATCATGTGGTATTATTTATATCACAAAACACTGTCATATGAAAATCAGCACATAGCTCTGAAACACTTCTAAAAACCACTTAGAAGCAGACATACTGTAAGTAATGAGTATCTTTCTACTTACACAGACCCCAGGTGGGAAGTTCAGAAACTGGGCTGTCCCTTGCTTTCCACCCTTGGGAGATAAATACAAACACATGGTCAAAGACGAAACAGAAATATGGAAGCTACACAACGCCCTTTAGACACATACACAAGTCCCTAGGCCAAAGTAGGGCTCCTGCTACAAAGCCAGTGTCAGTGTATTTCTCAAAGGGAGAAGAGAGGTAACATCTGAATAAAAATGCAAAGCTAAAGAAAAAGACCAGATGAGCACACTGCTACGTCTGTGTTTCGTGGGAAATCAGGAATCCTCCCAGGACGCAGATCCACAACCCAGTGCATGGTATGACACCAGCACCCGTTGGCAGAAGCCATGACCTCTCTCCACGGTCATGTCTACACAGGCGCCGCAGGGTGTCTGTTGAGCGCAGACAGTCAATAATGAGGTCACGTGGTAAACTGTCAATCCCCAAAAATGAAGTGCAAAATCAACTGCTATGACTCAAGAGCTGAACCAGGTCAAAGCTTTGGTATATGCTGGAGGTTGTTTTGGTGACAACCAAAGCTTACTAAGATTCTCTGCTCTAGGGTTTGTCCCCAAAACAAAACTCCTGGTCCACAAAGCTCAACAACTACATAAATAAGAACCTGTACAAAGAGAAGAAGCCACAATCCCTTTCCCAAGGGCTGTTTTCTGTGCAGCAGTTCTGAAGGCACCCACTACAGCCACACACTTAACTCAACATGCTGTAATTGGTGAGATTGCTCAGAAAACAAGCGCCCACAGGCAGGCGGCTGCTGTGCCAAGTTCAACAAAACACCAAGTGCGAGTTCTCACACTGCAACACAAGCCGGGCAGCAACAGAGAAAGGCTTAAGGCAAGAAGAGGCGCTGCAGTCACCTCCACAGCCTCCGGTAGGAACGCTTTCTAACAGCGGAGGCTGCTTCTCAGCTGCTAGCTGTCAGACACCATTTCCTCCTCCTCGTCATCTTCATCCTCCTTCCTGTCTAGTTCAGAGGTGTCTGAAGACTCGTGGAGCAAGACATATTCTCTGCTACTGAACCCAAATTTAAGTACGTCTTTTTCTCTCAGTTCATAGTATCTCTGTGGCTCAATACGCTTGTTGTTCAAGAACGTTCCGTTGCCAGAGCCGAGGTCAATGATGTAGGGCTTCACTCTCCGACCAACTGTGCCATCAGCACGGGTGTACTCAACAAGCCTAGAAGAGACCGAGGCGAGAAAGCCTGTGAGCCAAGTCCTACCAGAGACCATCTATCTTCTCTAAAGCTTTCTGTTACATATCTATATGTCATTCAGCTGGCTTGAAGGGGATTCAAATGCAAACAAGGAAATTGGTAAAGCTGGCTGTAGGTGGTGGGCAAGGATGGAGGGCCATAAAGATCCCAATGCAGAACTCAAGGCCTCTTGCTACAGTTACACATACACTTCCCCAATGCTCTCCCCCTATTTTAGCACCAGCCCAAATAGGGAATAAAAACAGAAAAATTAGGACTTGAGAGTCAAGGGCTAGGTATGAGGCAGAGATCTGCTCTGAAGTTTACTCCTCCCTGAGTGCTGAGATTACAGTTATGCGCCACCATACCCAGCCTTAACTTCTTTTTCTTCCTTTCTTTTTATTTTTTTGAGATGGAGTCATGGTACATAGCCCATGCCTAAAGGGTTCACCAACCATTGGTCTCCGGAAATCTGGGATCACAGGTAGGGCCCATATCTGGGTTTCGGACACCAAGTCCAAGCCTCTAATACAAATGTTAAGAGAATACCTGCAGGCTGTTAGACTTAGTATAGTCCTTCAGCCCAGCTCATTAGACACAAGGGGTAATGCATTTGTCTGCATCTCCACACAGACAGCCTTAGGACTCCTGAGTGAGACACTCACCCAGCTCCCTTTCTAGTACTTACCGGTACTGGAAGACTGCATGCTGCTTTGAGCAGGAGGGGTGGTCAATGGGAATGTCAGCAATGCGGCGATGTCGACCCAGAAGGTAAGCACTCTGCCGATGGATGTACATGACTGGAAGCACCTCATCATTTTTAAATGGGTAGAGACGCCACCGTTTTTTGGGAATCCGAGCTTCTGGGGGCTCACTGTATTTAATAACCACACCCCGGAAGGTATTGGTATCCTCAAGAAGTGCTCCAGAAAGTTCAAAGTTCGGTTTTTCTTTAACAGGCACCTCTTTGCTTCTGTTACCAGCGGGGCGAGGGATCACCTCCTGAGCCTCACCGCCAGCACCTTCATTCTGCTGGCGATGCTCCCGGCGCCTGGCGTTATAAAAGTCTCTCTCTTCTTCCTGGGCCTGCAGATTCTGGCTGTCTCGATCCCGACCCTGCCCACTGACAGGCCTCTCATCGGAGCTCCTCCTCTGGCGGAAATGGCCCCAGTGCCGGTCGCGCTCCATGTTCCGCGCTCTCCTGTGCTCCTGTTCTGATGGCTCCCGGTGCTGCCGATCCTCTCGCCCTCTCCGTGGATGGTCCTCACGTTCCTGAAATTCAGATGGATTCAGTAAAGAAAAGATGGCTTCCACTCTGTAAACAACTGCCAGGACTGGAGAGGTAACTCAGCAGTTAGTTAAGAGCACTGGCTGCTGTTCCAGAGCACCCACGTTCAGCTCCCAGCACCCACATGGCCATTCACAACCATCTGCAACTACAGTTCCAAGGATCCAACTTGCCCTTCTGTGGCAAGTGTGGGCACTGTGCCATGTGGTTCAGACAGGCACTGCAGGCAAAACACCCCCCCACACAAAATGATTAAATCTCAAACAAACAAACAAACAAACAAACACCCCCCCCCCCCCACATCTGTGACCAGGATTCTGGTATTCAGAACAAATTCCTATCCATACAAGGCTATCTATGTGGTTCTTTTTCCTGATGGGCCATTAATACTGTCCAGTCTGGAGAATTGGCTCAAAGGTTAAGAGCACTGGCTGCATTTCCAGAGGTCCTGAATTCAAATCCCCGCAATGACATGGTGGCTCATAACCATCTGTAATGATGTGTCCTCTTCTGACCTGTAGGCATTCATGCAGGCAAGAAGACTGTATGCAGAATTACTAAATATTAAAAAAAAAAAAAAAAAGACTGTATTCCTAGCTGCTCCTCAAATAAAGGCCTGATAGCTCAAGCCCACATCCAGAGCCCTCAAAACAAGATGGAGAATGTGAAATACCCCTGGCAGTCATCTGCAGGCAAACTCACACAGGGCAATATGTGTAGAAAACAGAGCAGTCACATTTAAGATATATAAAGGGAAAAGTTAACTTCCTCATAGGCCAAAAAGAAATTGAAATATAAATGCTTCAATTTCAACAATTACAAAAGCAATCACTCCAAGGGCAAAGCATGTCATCAACTGCAGTTTCCAGAGGAAATTAACACTTAACCTAAGCCTGAAGATGTGTTTCTTCTAACCAGAGCATCAATGCTAAAAGAAATACGAATCTTCTCAGACTAGCAACACTAAAGGGTCAGAAATAGACACTGTCAAGAGAAGTGACTGGGGTTGCACACCTTTAATCCCAGCACTTGGGAGGCAGAGGCAAAGGCAGAGGCAGGTGGATTACTAGGGGATCCAGGCCAGCCAAGCTGATACAGTGAGAATGAAAACCTGTCTCCAAGGGTTGGGGGATTAGGGCAGGAAACACACCAGCGGTGGTGTTTGTTTGATGGTATACCCTTAATGTCAGCACTCAGGAGGCTGAGGCAAGAGAATCAGCAAGAGTTCAAGGCCTGCCTGTGCTACCAAGTGAGTTCTGGGCCAACCTGGGCCTAATTCCAGGAGATACCCTGTCTCAACTACAAAAATGTGGAATCATGCAATTTTTGTCTTTTTCTGCCTGGTTTATCAAGCAAGTCATCAGGGTTGAGAATTTTCTTCCTTTGAAGGCTGAGTAACGTATGTATGTAGTGGTAACGGAACTAGGATTCAGGGCCAGAAGCAGGCTAGACAAGCACTCTGCTTCCAAAGTTTATCCCCAGCATTTTCTACTCGCAGTCTCTCAGTAAGCTTTCAAAACCACTACTGAACTTGTCATCTTCCTGCCTCAGAGTAGGATTACATGCGCGCACTACCACACCTGCCTCTAGCAAGACGTTACTAGGAAACCTAGAAGATGGCTCTGCAGTTGAGAGCACTGTCTGTTCTTCCAGAGAACCTGCATCAGTTCCCAATGCCCAAAATGTGGCTTACTTGACTCAAGTTCTAGGGAATCTGGTAGTACCCTTTTCTGGACCCTGTGGGCCCAGACATATACATAGTACAAATACATACATGCAGGCAGGCAAAAAAAAAAAAAAAAAAAAATCTTTACAAGAACTTGACCATACACTCAGACTTATAACAACTGCACAGAGATACAGACGAAGGAGCTAGAACAGCTAAGGTAAGTTTTTGAAAGAATAAAGTAGAAGGCACCAGGGCACTCAGTTTCACGACTTATTATTTAAGTGCAGTAATCAAGACAGCATGGCTTTGGCAGAACAAGACATATACCTGACTGATTTTCAATGTGGGAACAAAATAACAAGCCAATGGAGAAAAACAATGTCCTTTGAATCTGTGGTCTCGGAACACACAGGCAGTAACAGGCCAAACCTGACCCATCCACACTGGCTTAAACAGCACCATGAAGAATCTCCTCATCTAAAGACTGTGGGTTTAAATGTGCACCCAGAAAATGAGAAACAGAGAAGCGGCCAGGAGGTAAGGAAGGATAAAGGTGAGAAGGAACGAGATTCACAGAACACTGTGAGGCATCCTGGTGGCAGGGAAATGGCTGTACCCTGACTAGAACAGTGCTCCCAGTTATGTGAGAAGTCACCATTGGGAGAAACATGGAAATGCACATCTCTCCTCTCTGTACCATTTCTGCCCAGACTTATCAGGATCAAATCAGTAATTGCTTCCAAATTTAAAATTTCAGGAAAAACAGCCCCAAACACATATTTAATTCTTAGAAAAACCCACTGCAAGGCCAAGGAAACATATACACACGTGGATGCAAACCTCTTTAAATCCAGCAACATCTCCGGATTTGAACTTCCTAGCAAAGGCCCCTGCCCTTTCACTCACCTGCTTCACTTTGACCATGGAGTAGTGGGGACTCCGGCTTCTCTTAATCCGAGGAGACTTGCTTCTTCTCCCTGAGGACTTGCTTTTCTTTTTGGCTGGGGACCTATTCAGAGCATAGTACACACGATTTTACCTCAGCGTCCCTTCCCCCAAATAAATCAGCTTCAGGTATCAGGGTTGCCCACTAAACACAACACATTCATGAAATCACTAGGCGAGTCAGGCCTTCACTCTCCCAGTAACTTCTTCCGAATGCAGAGTCAACTGCCTGCTAAACCGTCTCCCTTAGATAACCTAATCCTTGAACCCCAACGCCTCAAAAACCTTTCTTTTCCCAGTCTGCCATCCTACTAATTCCCTGTTTTTTCTAACACACCCGCTTTCCAACGACCCCATCCAATCCCTTGGCGGGTCCCAGGGCCCCACCCTGGCCTCACCCGAGGTCGTTCCTACCAGTCTACAATGCTCCTCCACCACTCAATTCCAGATACAAGCATGCCCCACCACACTGGGTTCTACCTGGATGGTCAAGACTCTTTTGACTCAAAGGATGAATCAATCTTATGGATCATGTCTTAGCTTAAACAGCACATTTAAGCCCTCTCTTCCTTCCATCCAGCCTCTCACTACCACATCAAAGTTTTAACCTATCTTTAACACTAATTGAAACTATCTACTTGCTTTTCTTTTTTCCTTCTTAGAGTTAAAGCATGCCCAATTTCGCCAGGGGAAGGGGGAAGCAACTCCCTTGTTCATCCTATGGCCCGGCACCTCAGTTGATCTTTAGCCCACCCTAGGCAGTCGGTAAACCGATGCTGTATGGAGGTATCGGCGAGTGAGTGCTGCGAAGAAGTCGCCAAGACCGAACGTGAGACGAGCGGAAAAACACCCTCACTATACACCCGTGGGCAGGCGGGGGAATGTCATTTAAACTCAACAGGTGCTCTGCACCCCTAGTCGCTCCCACCGCCCGCGCCCCGCGCCATTCCGTCCACGGCCCGCTCACCGGCTCGCTCCTCGGGCTCGGCTCCCGCGGTGGCCGGCGCGGCTCGGCTCGGCGACGGGCGGGGACGGGCTGGCAGCTGCGGCGTCTGGCCGGCGGTGCGTCACGGGTTCGGGGCTCAGAGGCTCCTGCTTCACCACCACGTTCGCCAAAGCATCGTCCGTCCGGTGTCGCCGCCGGCCGCTTCGCTCCCGCTCGCTCTTTCCAGCCTTCATCCTGCCGCCCGGCCGAGAGGCACCTGAACGGTCCGTTGAGCGACTTGTGGCGAAGGAAGTGACGTACAGACCTTTGTACTTCCGCTTCCGGGCAGCGTGCTTCCCAGAAGCCCTCACCACGCCGGCCCCTGGTGGGCGGGGCCACAGGTGATTGGATTTACACGCTGAGGACGCGCTGGCTGGTGGCCCTGGGGTCCCTGCTGCTGGGAGGTGTGGTTAGAGTACTATAAAGTCAGGGCCAGCCCTCAGGAGGGTGAGGTAGGAGGAGGCTCGCTGTAAGGTCGAGGCCGGACTGGGTAGTTTAGTGAGACTCAAAATTTAAAATAGTTGTAGCTCAAGTAGAGCGCCGAGCCACTCTGGATTCGATCCTCAGCATCGCCAAGTAGAAAGTAAAGTCAAATGGAGAGGGAAGGCTAAGGCTGTAGCTTAGTTGTAGAGAGAGCGTTTGCCTTGCGTAGGCAAAGCCCTGGATGCAATTCCCAGACCTCAAAAATGACCAAAATAGTTTTTTTTTCGAGACAGGGTTTCTCTATGTACCCTGGCTGTCCTAGAACTCACTCTGTAGACTAGGCTGGCCTCAAACTCAGAGATCTGCCTGGCTCTGACTCCCAAATGCTGTAATTAAAAGCGCGTGGCTGTAAAAATAAAACAAAACAAAAACCTTATGTGGGAAAGCTAATCCAACGCTCACTGTTCCTTGCTCATTGTTAATAGTTACAAAACACAGACAAGTACTCAACAATATGAGATTTTGTTTGTTTGTTTCTTGAGACAGCGTCTCTATGTAGCCTTGGCTATCCTGGAACTCAACGGAGACCCGCCGACCTCGGGCTTCCAAGTGCCAATTGTCGCCAAATACTCTAGAGTCAGAAGACGACTTCCGTTTTAAGGCTCAGCAAAAGTGGTTTACCATTTCATCACATCCCGAATCAGACCTAGCGCTAGGGCTCCAATCTTTTTTTACAAAGAAGCCTAGAGCTTGTGAAGCAAGCTCCGTAGTCTATAGAACAAAACTTGCACGCGGCTCGCACCGCCTCCCTCCGAAGCCCCGCCCCATCCATGGGGCAAGTAGAGCAGGGGTTTCCATAGTGACCGCAAACAAGGCTCCACCTGGAGGGGCCGCTACGGAGTTGCTACCCTTGCTGCTACCATGATACCCCCCGCCGATTCTCTGCTCAAATATGACACCCCGGTGTTGGTGAGCCGAAACACAGAAAAACGGAGTCCCAAGGTATGAACAGGTCTCAGGGGATGCGAAATCTACAAACTCCCATGGGGAAAGACATCCCAGCTTTGAGGATCTCTGGAATTTCAGGAGGCAAAGATTGCTGGGGCGGACAGCCAAGGGAATTAGGACAGGGACAAAGGTTAGGAGAGGAGTCCAAGAAGCCTAGCTGTGACACCAAAGTACAAATTTAAGATGAGAAAGAAGTCACATTGAAATAATGGGGCTTGTGGCAGTCAGGTCCAAGAATGGTTCGGTAGTGACTCCCTTATCTCTGGAGTCAGAACAGAGGCCTGTCCACAGATTCTAGAAACATCAGCGTGAACACAAATAGCCCTCATGGTCTCTTTGCATCATATTTCTGTTGAGACCGCAGATGAGGGAAGTAGGATGGAGATGGGGAAGGCTGTAAGAGAGAGCTGGAGTAATCTGGAGGTATTGTCTCACTCGTCTCTTCCTAGGCTCGGCCACTGAAGGTCAGTCTCCTGCAGCCTGGAACCTCTGGTTCAGTCCCACAGCCACCCAAGACCAAGCTGCCCTCAACGTCCGCTATTCCAGATCCTACAAAACAGGCAGAAGAAATCTTGAATGCCATCCTGCCTCCAAGGTAAAAAAAAAAAAAAAAAAAAAAAGGAGGGGGCATGCTGGGAGAAGGTCCAAGCTCTTGGCTTCAGAACTTTGGTGTGTTGGGTGTGTGGGACCAGGGAGTCTGTGTTCTGCCTTGGGTCTCCTCTTGGATTTCTGTAGTTCGTGGAGTCTGAGTATGGCTGGATGCTCACAGCCAAGCAAGAAACCTCTAAATCCATACCCTCCACGTTCTGAGCAGTCTCATGACTTTAGATGCCAGGTACATAGTCAGCCTTCAGATGTGGATCTCTAGTCTACCTCTGTTCCTCCTAAACTTCATTCCCATATTTTGCTTTTTTGGTACCTTCATCAAGATTCCTAATAGAGCCAGGCAGCGGTAGCACAGGACTTTAATCCAAGCATTTAGGAGACAGAGACAGGCAGATTTCTACGAAATCCAGGCCAGCCTGATCTACAGAGTGAGTTCCTGAACAGCCAAGGCTGCACAGAGAAACCCTATCTTGAAAAAAAAAAAAAAAGATTCCTCATAGAAAGCCTGATGTGGTGGCTTGTGCTTAATCTCAGCACTCTGCTAGACACAAGAGAATTGCCTCAAAGTCAAGGCCAGCCTGAACTAGTTCTAGGCCAGCTAGGGGTACATAGCAAAGTTGTGTCTCAAAACACCCACAAATGTCCAATAAGTCAAGGCCTAGGAAAGGTCACCTTTAATCCCAGAACTCAGGAGACAGGGGTAGAAGGATAAGAGTTTGAGGCCAGCCTGGGCTTGTGTAGTCTAGGTAGAACTCTCAAAAACCTCCACCTAATGGACATTTTTCTACCCAAGACATTAAAACTTTCTCTCAGAGTAAAAGAACCACAGAGAACCTGTGGTTTCTCCAAAGATGGAGATCAAGAGAGAGGTGCCCTCTGTCCCACCAACATAGATGTTCTCCATCTCTTGCCATTCTGCCTGCCAGATGGTCATTGCAGAAACTGGCTGTGCCTCCAGCACAGAACCCATTACGCACAGCCATTACAAACTTAGCAATTGAAAAACCTTCATACTCCCAACATTCACAAATGCTTCCTATTGGCTTGCACAAGGTTTATGGTGTTCTGTGTCTCCATGTAAGCTGGCGTGGGGAATTCCCATGGCATCTTCTATTCAAATCAAGCAGTAGGACGCTACATCTGTCCTCAACATGCTAGGCAGGCACGATCTGGAACAGAGGGTTGTAGTCCCACAGAGAGTAGAGGTTGCCCATCTACCCAGTCCTGAGAAGGGTGTCCTGAGGAGGCTGCACAGTGGGTGTGGCTTGTGAGAGGGAGGGAAGTGGATTCTGGTGGCATGGTGGCTACGCTGCCCCTGGATCCTGCTCAGGCAGAGAGTTCCAAGGGCCCTGTGCTTACGTCTGGTGGCTTCTATCCGTGTTGCAGGGAGTGGGTAGAAGACACACAGCTATGGATCCAGCAGGTGTCCAGCACGCCCAGCACCAGGATGGATGTGGTGCATCTCCAGGAGCAGCTGGACCTGAAACTGCAGCAGAGGCAGGCCAGGGAGACGGGCATCTGCCCAGTACGCAGGGAACTCTACTCACAGTGTTTTGGTGGGTAGGCTTGTTGGAGTGAGCGCCGTACACTCTCTGACTCCTTCTAGCACAAAACCAAGCCCCGGTTACCCCCAAACCGAACCCCCATTCAGAATTCATCCCTTCTTTTGTGGGATTTCCTCCTACAACAGTTGAGTTCGTTCTCTTTCCCTCCCAGTCTCACCTCTCCACCTTGGCTAGTCGTCCATCTGCCAAACATTCATGGTCACCCGGCTTCCTGGTCCCTCACAGATACTCGATTCTTATTTAGATTTACATTTATTTTGTATGCACATGCACACATGCCTGTTTTTATGAGGGCACACATGTACTGTGGCACGAGTGTGGAGATGAGAAGACAGAGTGCAAGAATTCATTTTCTCATTCTACCGCATGGGTTCTGGAGATGGGCTCAGATCATCAGGCTTGGTGGCAAGTGCCTTTACCCACTGAACCATCTCACTGCCCTCCTTAATAGGTATTTGGAGTAAGGCAAGAACTTCCATTTTAGCCAGGCGTGGTGACACATGACTTTAATACAGGCCCTTGGGAGGCAGAGGGAGGCAGATCTCTCTGGCTTGAGGTCAACTGGTCCACATAGTGAGTTCCAGGCCAGCCAAGGCTGCCATTAAAAAAAGACTTTTCATTTTGACTCTTTTTTTTTTCTCCCAAAGATTTCCATGACAATCCTGTGCTAATTTGTTTTTTAAAGGCAGGATCTCAGTATGTAGCCCTGGCTGGCCTGGCCTCTCGGAGATCTGCCTGCCTCTGCCTCCTGAGCACTAGGGTTAAAGGTATGTGTCACTACTCCTGATTTTAATTTTTATTTTTTTAAAAATTTTCTTCAAGACAGGGTTTCTTTTTGTAGCCTTGGCTGTCCTGGACTCACTTTGTATACCAGGCTGGTCTTGAACTCATAGATATCCATCTGCCTTTGCCTCCCAGAGTGATGAGATTACAGGCATGTGCCACTGAGCCTGGTTCTGGCTTTAATTTTTTAAAACTTATTTTCCAATACCAAGTGATCAACCCTAGAAACATATACACACAACTAACATTCTATGGAGTGAGCAGGTTGTATTTATATATTTAGGAACACACACACACATATATATATAACAACAAAAAGAGTCTATGAATTTGAGAGTTGAGGGAGGTGTACATGGGAGAAGTTGAAGGAAGGAATAGGGAGAGGGAAATGATATAATTACTATAATTATTATTATTTCATTTTTTTGAGACAGTGTTTCTCTATGTAGCCCTGGCTATCCTGGATTCACTTTGTAGACCAGGCTGGCCTCGAACTCACAGAGATCCACTTGCCTCTGCCTCTCAAGTGCTGGGACTACAGGCATGGGACAACAGGAGCACTTTAAAAAATTGCCATTTCGGAAGGCCTGTTCCTCCTATATCCTGAGAACTCTCTCATAGTGCATTGGTTTTTGTGTGTGTTGTATGTATATATGCATGTTGTGCTTGAATGTGTGTACACATGTGTGGAGACCAGAAGTCAATGTTAAGACTCTCTCTTTCTTAAGATTTATTTATTTATTATGTCTACCCTGTTTGCATATACATCTGCATGCCAGACGCCAGAAGAGGGCAGCAGATTTCATCATAGATGGTTCTGAGCCACCATGTGGTTGCTGTGGTTGCTGGGACTTGAGCTCAGGTCCTCTGGAAAAGAATCCAGGGCTCTTAACCTCTGAGCCATCTCTCCAGTCCTGCAGCCAATTATCTTAACTGCCAAGTCATCTCTCCAGCCCCTCTATCTTATTTTTTTCATCTCTCATTGAACCTGGAGCTCATCGATTTAGCAAGACTAGCTGGCCAGCAGGCTCCAGGGGACTTTCTGTCTCCGCCTCCTCAGGGCTAGGATTACGTATGTGTGCTACTGTGCCTGGCTTTGTACATGGATGTTGGGTATCCTGCACAACTGCTGTTTCCTCAGGTCCGTGCCTGAGCACATATCCTGAGTCCTTCCCACAAGTGCATGAGCCCTCACTGCTGCCTTTTCTCTCCCTGCGTGCATACCGGAAGATGAGCTGATCAGAGAGGTCACCATCAACTGTGCAGAGAGAGGGCTGCTGCTGCTGCGGGTCCGGGATGAGATCCGCATGACCATCGCTGCCTACCAGACTCTGTACGAGAGCAGCGTGGCGTTCGGCATGAGGAAGGCGCTGCAGGCCGAACAGGGGAAGTCAGACATGGAGAGGAGAGTGAGTGGGCTTGACCATGTCCCCATGGCTCCCAGACTCTTCTGTAAATCTTGGGGCTCACAGCTGTCATCACAACCCTGGATTCTGGCCCTGGGGGTGCCCTTCACACTAACACTGCAAGGCCTCATTGAGGAGGTGGTCCTCTCAGAGGACACTCCATGTCGGTCGCTGACTTCCCACTGGGTGGCAGTACATACCCTGGCATTGTCTTAGGTTGGATAGTTGTGTCCCAAGTCTCCCCACCCAGGCTAACAGGCTCATCCACTCGGGGATATCCCAGGATGATGGCCATTGTCTCTTCAGATTGCAGAGTTGGAGACAGAAAAGAGGGATCTGGAGAGACAAGTGAATGAACAGAAGGCAAAGTGTGAGGCCACCGAGAAGCGAGAGAGTGAGAGGAGACAGGTGGAAGAGAAGAAGCACAATGAGGAGATCCAGTTCCTGAAACGGACCAATCAGCAACTGAAGGTAAAAAAAAAAAAAAAAAAAAAAGGCCTGGGTTGGGTCCAGGCACCCCACCCATAGGGCCAGACCGACAGATCGCTCAGTAGTGGAGATTCAGTGCAGTGGAGATCTGGTCCTCCTTTTTACTTTTCTTCTTTGGATTTTTGAAAAAGGATCTCTTGTAGCAAAGGCTAGCCTCCAACTCACACTCTTCTTTCTTTGCCTCTGTACTGCTGGGATTACAGGAATGTGTCACCATGCCCAGCTCTTCTTTTTAAATATTTTTTAAGCTTTATGTTTTGTTTTGTTTTAATCTGTGTGACTATTTTGCCTGCATTCTCTTACATGCCCGTGTGTGCTTGTTGGATCCCCTGGAACTGGGGTTATGGGTGATTGTAAGCCATCTTCTGGGTGCTGGGAAACAAACCCAGATCCTCTTCAAGGACAATGAATACTCTTAACTGTTGAGCCATCTTTTCAGCCCTTTTAGTTTTCAGTTGGAAACTGGACCCGAGCTTTCCAGGCTGGCCTTGAACACTAACTCAAGGAGACCTTTCTTTGCAATTCTGCTTCTGCCTCTCCAGTAGTTGGGATTACAGGCATGTGCCCATGGCTTTTAAATGTTAGCCCACATGTACTGCTGCTGACTGGGGTGGGGCTTCTTTGCTAAATTCTTTACTTCCTTCGCTGTGAAGGAAGTTTATTCTCAGCTCTAACCACTGCCTAGGCCTGCCTCACTGTGGAGCCATTATGCCTGCCAATCTGTTTCCCTCCTGGGAAAAAGATGCTCATAACCAGAGAGAATACAACAGCTTCTGTCCCCTCAAGCTGGTCCCTAGAGTGACCAGGCCTCCCCAGCAGGCACCACCCTGGCATCTTGATGCCCTGTGGCAGCAGAAAAGGCTTTTGAGAGAAAGAGTATACGGGAAGCCCCCTAGGTGCGTGCAGAGGAACACAGCTGTAGGTGGTTTTCCTCAGCCAACTGAGGTACTGGGGGAGGGTTGGGTGGGAAGCCTGCTGCAAAGGCTGAGCCACAGACAAGTCTCATAATATCACAGTGTTTCTCTGTGTAGTCCTGGCTGTCCTGGAACTCACTCTGTAAACCAGGCTGGCCCTGAACTCAAATATCTGCCTGCCTCTGCCTCCCCAGTGTTGGGATTAAAGGCGTGCCCCAACACTGCCTGGCTACAGGGCAACTTTTTTTTTTTTTTTTTAATAATTATTGCCCACCCCCAGATATTCTGAGCAGAAGCTATGTGGCTGGTGCCCAACAGTGCAGTTTAACAAGGTCCTGGGGCTTATCGCAGATTGAACTTCTAAATTTGGTGCCTATAAAGAAGCCCTCTCCTCCCTCACTTAAAGCCAAAGGTCTCCCCCTTAAGAAGGCTTTGTAAGAACCATCAGCAGAGGTTGAAAGATTTTGCTAGTTGCTGAAGAGTCTATTAGAAGCAAAGCTAGAGACTTCCCCCTAGCCAGATGTAAACGTTGACTCAGCAGATTCCAAAGCTGGTTCTTAGCTCTGACAAGTTCCAACAATACCTTAGCATCCTTTTAACATCCAACGGCAGCCTTGAAATCCCCAGGGTGAAGTGTTCTTTACAAGCTAGCTCTTTTTATTGGCTCAAAGCTGTGCTACAAAGAAATCAGTTTTCAGTCCCCAGAATAGACCTTTTAAGGGTCTGTCCACATATCACTGCTGCAAATTATTGTGCTGGCAGCTAGAGGAACTGAGTAAATAAACCCCAAGTGTTTTATGCTTTCCTTACTCACTGGTAGCAATTTCCTCTAATTGAGTGTCAAGTTGTCTCAGTAGCCATAATTTACTGTATCCCAGACTTCTGGCCCCAGCAGAACTCCATGTATTAAACTGGAGAGCCGAATGTTTAACTTAGTGGACATACTCAGGCTTAAAGTAGAAGTGATGGAAAACCACTATTTCAACAACTTTTATCCCATTTCCCTTTCTGTGCTTTCTATTATGCACTGAGCTATTATTGTATGGAAACCAGGACAGCTCTGGTTTCTGCTCATGTAACAAAACTATGCCAAGCCTGAATCCCACTAATGTAGAAAATGTGGAGCTGGGTCAGAAGGGGGCCGGCCAGAGTGGCAGCCTTTGGCCTATTCCTCCAGGGCTCAGCTAAGTGTTACGGTGCAAGATGCAGATATTAATGGAGTTTTTGTTTTTCTGTTTCAGGCCCAACTGGAAGGCATTATTGCACCGAAGAAGTGATTTCCATACAGGTCTCAGCAGGCACCATGCCCCATCATAAGCCCATTGTAATAAAAAAGCCAGTTTCCTGAGAGAACAAGCCATCCCCTCCCCAGTCACCACTCATGTAATTGTTAGAACTGTTGCCTGTTGCCCCAGTGTCCCAAAACACCTAAGGTCTGGCAGCCAGGCTCCAGGTTGGGCAGTGGAAGGCGGTGTAACCAACCCTGTGTCCATGTGCAGCTTACAAAATGGACTGGGGATTTGTCACCTCAATAACTTAGAAAGCAAGTGTTTCCCCAAAGAAGCTACTTTTGCACCAAGTTCAGTGCATAGTTCACCTTGTACCGTGGGCTTCTCTGGCCCTCTCCTTCCACTCCATCACTTCTCTAGTATAACCTTGAGCAACTTACTTCAGAGTTTGGGTCTATCATCTCATTCCACCCACGTCAGCCGGACCCTGTCCTTAGCACGCTTGGTTCCAGGAGGAAACGAGCAGAGTCAAACCCATGCTCACTGACAGGTATGGAAGTTTCAGATCTTGAGAGCCCTCTGCACCCCAGGTCCTCCCCACTCTAATTAGTCACCTTCCACAGCATATCAAAGCCGAACTCCACACTCCCTACCTAGCCTCGAATGAACAGCTAAGGAGGTAGCCACATATCACATGCAGTTCCAGTCAGCCTGTGGCTTGAAGGCAATTTTGTAGATCCAGAACTTAAAATTACAAACAAATCTCTACTCAGAGAAGCCCAGGGTGGGAGAGGGCAGTGAGCTTCATGACACCCATCGTTCAGTCTAGTGTCAGAAGTACTGTTCTTAAGGTGGCACTAATATTTCCTTCTAATTGGTGGGAGTACCTCAAGTACCTCTGAAGGGTGCCAGAAAGGACTTAGTCCTTGACAGAGCTGTGCTGCCCTCCATCCCAGGCAAAGCTTACTGCAAGGCCTCTGATCCCCACAAGAGCCGTTTTGAGTTGAATATATCCCAACACTGACTTTCTACGAGAAGTCTCATCTTTGACCGTCACCCATATCCTGAGGAACTAGGTCCCCACCACTGTAACCCGCACATCGGCCGCGGTCCTGGAAGAGCTCGCTCCCTGTGGTGTGCTGGCTTTGTGGCCAGCAGGAAAGCTTCTGTACCCTAACAAGGCCAAGGAAAGTCAACAAGGTTTCCAGAGCACTCCTTTCTACAAGCCTCACCACGAATGTCTCTGGAGGACTTTGTGCTTTTACAGCTTTTAAAGCTCCTAGCCCCGGCACTGCTCAGTAGTGTAAGAGAAATATGCATGTCTCTGGACACACACAAGAGGGTCACAGGCTGGAGGAAGTAAGGGTCAGGGCAAGTGTTTCTGGTCTGAGGACTGACTGTTGCACTAGCACTAGGGTACAGCCTCAACCACTAAGCTTTCCAAGTGTGCTGTGCCTAACTGGGCATGAAAAAGTGAACACAGTTCCTCATGGCATATTTTTGTATAATTTAATAAACAACTTTCTAGATGTTACTGCTTCTGTCTGAATTTCTTGTGTTTGTGCTTCTGTCCCTCTGAGTCGTTTGTCTTCTTTTTGTTCCTGTTTCTGTTTTTCACATTGTGTGTATCATAGTAGCGCACACCAACTTTTTTGGATTGTTGCTGCCGCGCTGCTCTCCTCCGCTGTAAAAAAACACAACAACAAAAAAACCAGTCAAACACTGAAGGTCCTGAGCAGGCCTATTTCCCAACCCTCTCCATGCCTGTGCAGCCCCACAGCAATGGAGCAAAGCTGGAGGTGTGTCCACCTCAGACTCACAGGCCCAACCTTCATCCTTCCCCCAGCAGGGCTGCTTCAGCTCTGCACAGCTCCCTGCCCAGAGTCAGTCAGCTGCCTGCCTCACCAGCGCTACTTTTATGCGTCACCTCCCTGGAATCAAACAAAACCATCTAATTCTTCGGGCAAATAGGACACAGGTGTGAAGATGGTAATCTAGAATCCCTGAAACTTAAGACAGTCTCAAGGACCCTTGTTCTGTGGATCTCACACCACGTTACTAAGAAGTGGGTCTCCTAAGACTCTCAGCTCTCAACTATTATTTCAGAAAGAATGAGTCTTGGGAACTGGACTTAACAGTTGTCCATGATAGCTTTTTACTCCTGTAATCCCAGCACTTGAGAGACTAAGGGGACTGCTTGAGTTTGAGGACAACTAGGGCTTTGCATACCAAAACCCTGCCTCAAAAGAAAAGAAAAAAGAAGAAAAAAAAAAGTCTCAGGAGTAAAGGCATTTGCTGTCAAGCCAAACTACTTAAGCACCATTCCTAGGACCCACCCTCACGTTGTCCTCTGGACTCCCGGTGCTCACTGTCATGAGACGTCTGCGCACACACATGCATACAAAATAAACGCAAATAACAAACCTTCAGATGGACTTCTATTGTTCTTTTGTTTTGTTTTTTTCCCCCATGACAGGGTCTCACTAGGCAGCTCTAGCTGTCCAAGGACTCACTATGTAGACCAGGCTGGCCTCATACTGAGACCCTCCTGCCTTTACCTCCCAGTGCTGGGACTAAAAGCTCGGTGGGTACGTACCACTACGCCTGGCTGGACTTCTACTTTCTGTGTCTCATTAAAAGACGCAGAGTACTTACTTCCTTACATGTCTGCATCCTTTGAGTTTTATTTGAAGGTTCTTCTTCCATCTGTGCATTCCGCTTCCTTCCCTTTTTGGTAGGTGCTGGATACAAATAACACATAAAACACAGAGGAGATTAACAAAAGAAACAGCATTTCAAAATCTCTCTGGAGGCCAGATATGATGGTGCACACCTTTAACCACAGCACATGAGAGGCAGAGGCCAGTTTGGTCTACAAAGCAAGTCTAGGACAGCCAGGGCTGTTACACAGAGAAACCCTGTTTCAAAAAAACATGCACAAAAAAAAATCTGTCTGGAAGACTACAGGTGAACTGAGGCTAAAAAAGCCCCCAGCCACCCCCAATGCACTATCTGCTTCCAGTCTGTGGACTGGGATCTGAGCTCTCAGCTGCTGCTCCAGGAACTGCCGTGCCATGTCGTGGCATGCAATGCCTACCTCCTTCTATTCTACCTTCCTCGACAGATGGACTCCTTTTCCTCTGGAACTGCAAGCCACAAATAAACCCTTCCTTCTATTAGTTGCTTTGGTCATATTATGCTTTATCATAGCAACAGAAAGGTGACTAAGGCAGACCTCCTGCCCCAATTCTTCTGCAAATTCTTTTCTTCGACTCAAGTTATTAATATGCACTTTTGAAAAGCAACATTCCTAAGCCATCAACTTGATCTTAACAAATGCACACAATTTCAAGTGGACAGGCCAGTCTGCATGGCAAGTAGAATGTGGAACCAGATGCTAAATATCTGCCTGTGTGGAGAAAATTATTCCAAAGCTACAAATCACATCTAAATGGGTCAAAGCATCAATCTTACCTGCACCACTGACTTCTGCAGATATTTTCTTCTCTTCTTCATATTTTGCAAAAAACTTTTCACTTAAGCCCTTGGATATTCTGAAAAATAAAAGCAAAGTCACAAAGCTGCTCAATACTCCTTTTTAACTGCTCTGTGAAGTCCAGTGTGGAGAGGGCAACATTCTTGAAGAAAAAGAAATTCCACCATGTTTGCAGTGATCACTGGATGATACAGCCAGTGCCCAGCAGTTTGTACAGCTCCTGGGCTAAAATACTAGATAACCAAACTCCTTGGGAAAAGTTGTAAACTAATGATAATGAGGAGGAGGAGGAGGAGAAGAAGAAAAAGGAGAAGGAAGAGGAGAAAGAGGAGGAGGAAGATATTACCTGATGGCTGAGAACTTCTTAGCTTTGGCTTTGTTTAGAAACTTTTGGTACTTGGCGATCTTTTCATCCAGGGCTCTAATAACAGCTTTGGTGTCATTTGCCACTGGTTCTTCCTGAGAATCCTGGGAAAGCTCTTCCTCGGCATCCTCTCCTGGCTGTCCCTGCTCCTGTTCCTCCTCTTCTGCAGAAAAGTTTTCCAGATCTTCTTCCACGTCTGACATCTCCAAAGGAACCAGGTCATCCTCAGAAAACTGAGGCCCGACGTTGATTTTGCCAAAGTTCTGGCGAACCCGCGCGAGGATCTGCTGCATCTCTGAGTTTGTATTCTGGGAATGGTCTACTTCTGGCTCCTTTTCAAAGACAGAGTCTGACCTTTTAACTATGGTTTCTGTGGTCTCTTCTTCTGGGTTGTTCTGGGTTGTTTCTGTGGGAACTTCCAATGGCGAGGAAGTTGAAAGCTAGTGAGGACCAAAAGAGGTAGGAGAAGGGGAAAATGGAATCAGAAAAAGGAGAACCATGCTTCACCTCCTCCCGGCTCTCAGAAGAGCAGTCCTCCTCTCAGATCTAAGCCAAGAAGGAAGAGCCTCAAATTTGAGCTGCAGGGTTCATCCACTCTGAGCCAATGTAACTCAACACGGCAGCCAGCACTATAAAGGATCAAAGGGACAGAACTGTGCAGTGAAACTAACAGTGAGCGTTCTCCCTGGATATCAGGAAAAGGGGGCAGAAGAGGCACATAGAAAAATGGAAGACACAAGTTCAAGAGAGTGGAAGCAAGGCTGAAAGAGAACCAGGAAATATAAGGAGACATGTGGGGAGGTATCTTTTCAAAGAAGAGTTCCAGGCCAGAATTCAGAATGAGCACCGAGTCTAGAAACACTGAGATGACTGGACTACTTCAAAGTAGGTTTCCATGCTGCGTCAGCATGGGCCAAGCTTTCCACAGCACTTCACATATGGATCACTTTATCCCTAGGACCCAGACTCATGTAGTGACTCTCTGAAGTGGCGAGGTAAAATGCTGAACAAGCCCAGAGTCCATAAAATGCAGTAAACTGCATAAAAGTTTTGAGTTGACAAATTGGTTCAGCAGGTAAAGGCACCTGCTGCCCAACCTGACTGAGTTCAACCATTAGAGCTGATAAAAAGCAAGAACCAACTCCCCAAAATTGTTCCCAGATCCCCACAGGTGTATCATGGTTCGTGTGTGTGTGTATACAACCATATGCTCACGGGCAGACACACACTAACTTTTAAAAAGTCTGTACGTTTTTGTAGTGAGATGATTTCTTTTTGTCTCTCAAACAGGGTTTCTCTGTGCATCTCTTGCTGTCCTAGAACTCACTCTGAGTTGAAGGCTGGCTTCAAACAGAGATCCACCTGACTGCCTCCTGAGTGCCAGGATTAAAGGTATGAGCCACCTCGTCTGGTGATTTCGAGCTTTCCAATCTTCAAGAAATTACTACTTCACCAACAAGAAATGGAGTATGAACCCAAAATAGATAGATAGATAGATAGATAGATAGATAGATAGATAGATAGATAGATA